AAATAGCAAAACTCCCTTTTCAAATAGCAAAACTCCCTTTTCAAATGGCAGAACTCCCTTTTCAAATAGCAAAACTCCCTTTTCAAATAGCAAAACTCTCTTTTCAAATAGCAAAACTCTCTTTTCAAATAGCAAAACTTCCTTTTCAAATGGCAGAACTCCCTTTTCAAATGCCAGAACTTGGTTATCAACTTGACAACTTTATTTTGATTATTAATTCAAATGAAAATTAGTTTACTCTTTTACCGAAAGCGACCGGTCGAAATGACTGGGAAGGTAAGAATTTGACTGGACAACTCCGCCATTCTGGCCGGACATTGTCCGTTGACCGGCAGTTATTTTGCGCCCTGTCATGCAACTTATTTTTCCATGTACTTCAGACCAGATGAGGACGTAAGTTTTCTTTGATTTTTCAGCCAGGAAAGTTACTTCCTTCTGCACATGCTGTCGAGCGAGAATACAGGTTCGTCCTTATTGTTGTTTTGTACATTTATACTTGGTTCATTTTTATCTCTATTTTTGCGTTCAATGCGGTACCAGGATAGTGATCTTGAAATAGACTTATTTAGTTGTAACAATATGCACTGATACGTATTGTAGAGTGATGAAAGCGATGCATGAAAATGGCGTTCCTGTTCCAAAACCAATCGTTCTCTGTGAAGATGAAAGGTAAGTCATGAAAGTTTATTTTTGCCAAGGCAAAATCATTGAATATACTGAGAATGTTTGGTTAAACAGGAATTGAGAACCAAACGTATTTGAGAGATGAGATAGTTCAGTTACAAACCAAGACAACTAGGATATAGTTTCCACATCTTTGTAGATATATCTTACGTTATTTAGTGTGATTGGAACTTCGTTTTATATCATGGAGTATGTCAAGGGTCGAATATTTAAGGATCCATCTTTGCCTGGAATGACCAATGAAGTTAGAAAGGTATATTTTCAAACTTGTTTTTTGCAGACATCTGAAAGAGCTAGAACGTCAGTCTACTTTTCTACCAACGAATGCCTCAGTTTCTTAGTAATGTGAGATACTTTGATAATTTTTCAGGAAATTTACCAAGAAATGAACGAAGTTCTTGCTAAGATCCATCAAGTTGATGTCAAGAAGGCAGGTTTAGAGGACTATGGAAAACACGGTAATTAAGGCAACCTCGCTCCTATTGCCTCTTGTGAAGTAAAGACCCTGAGCTAGTCACGTGATCTTCTAAAATCTAGCAGATTTCTACTGAACTACTTGTACCACCAACACCCCAATATTTCTTTGCTCAGGAAATTACGTGAAACGACAAACAGAAACGTGGGCAAAGCAATATGAAGCGAGTAAAACTCACGAGATTAAAACAATGGATGACTTAATCACATGGCTTCGTCACAATGTCCCAGAAACTCCAAGAACAACCGTTGTTCATGGCGACTTTAGGTCAGTGACATCGATTGAAATTCAATCAAACTAGCATAATTTATTGTCGTGTATGTGTAGTAGTCTTGTACGTGGAGGCAAATAAATACAATACACCCTTTTGATAATTACGTCTTTGGCTGGGAGCCTCGCTCTCATGAATCGTGAGCCAATCACCTTGCGTAATTTACTAATGAGAGCGAGGCTCCAAGACCAAAAAGTATGTGTGACGTAATTATGGAAAATGTGTATGGAGAGATGTAGTTAATTTACTTGCTTTCGTACTCAACTTTCTGACGTGGACCTCCAGCATCCCTTCGCTGAAACAAACCAATTTTCATTTGTTAATTTCCGATGCAGAATAGACAACCTTGTCTATGATGAGAACGAGTCTAAAGTGCTCGCTGTTCTTGACTGGGAGTTGTCGACGTTAGGTGATCCTGTCACTGATCTGGCTTTAAACTGTCTGCCTTATTATCTCTCTCCAAAGTTTCCTATTTTAAAAGGTAGGTTTTAGAGGTGCATACTTTCTTTTAACATTCCGTACTATACCAAAACCATACCATACCAGACTGTACCATACCAGACTGTACCATACCATACCATACCACACTGTACCATATACCATACCATACCACACTGTACCATATACCATACCATACCACACTGTACCATACCATACCATACTATACTGTCCCTTACCATGCCATACTATACTGTCCCTTACCATACTATACTGTACCTTACCATACTATACTATCAATCAATCAATCAATCAATCAATCAATCAATCAATCTGTTTAATTAAAACCAATTTGCAGTTTTTAAAGGAAAACTGAATTACATGGAGTACTAATATAGCATAAAAATTTATATTAAAATGTACATATATATATATTATATAAAATAATGTTTATTTAGTTAGGACTGTTAATTAACTATAAAGCTAATAATATTTCCTAGTCACGAAGTTTTTTAACCGTTCAGTGGTTTCTGACCATAAAGGTTGTTCGGCCGTTCTGTCATTCCTTAAGTCATAATCATGAGTTTTTACCCCGGGACGAATTTCCATAATTTGGGTCAAAGGGTTGTAGGGTGAAACATCACGTCGCAGAGATTCGACGAATTTCTTGCAAGAGATGTCTCTACGAGTACTCAGATACTGTAAGTTTGAAATTTCAAGGGCTTCATCGTATAACAGATCTGGATAAGCTATTCTCAATGCTCTCTTTTGAACAGATTCGAGAATGTCAGATAATGATTTAGGTATTGACGACCATACAGGGGATGCATATTCAATTCTGGATCTGATGAATGAGATATATATTTGGACGATGTCAGATGCTTGAAGACCAGCCTTTTTTAACAGACGCAATGCGTATAAGCGAGAATTTGCCTTTTTCAATACCATGTCGACATGAGTATTCCATGACAAGTCGTTTGACATCCATACACCTAGGAGTTTGAAAGAGGACACAGTTTCCACCGGTTTACCTGAAAACATAGATCGGGTTTTCATCATCAGATCCTTTATATTTAAGAAAGTTGATCAACATTTGTTTGCATTTCTTATAATTTAGTTCAATTCCACGTTCTAAGGCGTAGTCCGAGATTTCATTTACGACTAATGGCATTAAACTGGATGAAAAACGTGGTATAATCTCTAGGGCTGAGGTGTCATCCACAAACTTGATCCTACTGGGCCAGTTTTCGAGTAAGGAATTAATGAGAACAGCAAACAATAATGGACCCAACTTTGTACCTTGTGGCAAGCCACCATTTGTTTTCTTCCAAGAGGACATAGAAGTTCCCACCCGGACACATTGTTCGCGATCGCAGAGGAAGGCTTTAATCCACCGAATTATAGAGGGATGGGTACCAAGCAGGATTAATTCTTTAATAATAACATTGTGGTCTACTAGGTCAAAACCTTTCTTGAAATCTGCAAAGAACAATCTGGCAGTACAGGAACCTCTCTCAAGAGCAACCAAGATTGAATGTAAAAGGTAGACCAAAGCATGGGTCGTTGATTTCTTTGGGGGTGCAAATTGTTTGGTGTCAAGTTTATTTACAACTTCAGGAAAAAAATTGTCCAAAGTACAATCCTCCATAACTTTGGCGATCTGAGATGTTAAAGATATTGGTCGTAGGTCGTCTTCAATACTCTTTGGGGGTGATACCTTAGGGACAGGCACTACAATAGATCTCTTCAATGCCTTTGGGAAGGTGCCGTGTGTCATGGATGAGTTGAAAATGTCTGAGATAA